GCAAGAAGCTTTAAGAGTTAGCTCTCCCCAACACAAAGTAACACAGTTGCTACGTTTAAATACGTTTTTACCACCTGCTGGCCAGGGGCTGCAGCGGCATTAAAAAGTTAGAAAAGCCCAAACCCCCAAAGTTCAATAGATTTGAAGAAAGAAAAAAAGACGTTATCTGCGTGAAGGGAATAGAGCGAAGATGACGACCATAGATCCACATGTGCAATATACCAACTCTTATAACATGACAGAAGACGAATATATGCTTCAAGAAGAAGACTGGGATAGAGACCTACTCCTGGATCCTGCTTGGGAGAAGCAACAGAGGAAGGTAAAGTTAAACGGACAACACACTTTAGATTGTATGTGTAGGTGAGCTGTTGAGAGCTAGTTGAACATGTGTTGGAATTCAGATGATAATGCAGACATCATTTTTAGTCGGGTATAAATTTTATGTTTGTTCATTTCAACTTCTCTTTCTATCTCAGAAAAAAAAAAAAGACTAATTTTATTTGCACGTCGTCAGATATTGCTTGACTGACTGTGTGGCAATTTCGTATTTTAATCAGTCAAGTCAGCTGGCAAGTGAACAGGTGCCGCCAAGACCCCCAGTCTAGCTCTCCCTGTCCTCCGTTTGGCTTAAGATGTCCCGCAGAAGCTTTTTTTGGAAGGGCCGTGTTCAGCAAGAATGATGGATTGTTTTTCATACTTAGACCATCCTCTTCTTTTTAGCTAGAGTGTTCTGCAAGGTGATCCTTGCAAGGGAGGGCGACGGGGGGTGGGGAAGAAAAATTCTGCATCTGTGTTTTTGGGAGCAGCTGGTCCCTTGTAATAACTCTGGATGGGATGATTCCTTATAGGTTAGTGACATTTTAGGCAGAAGGTGTCATCATTATTAGGAATGTATGAAGAGAGGGATCAGGTGGCATAGCTGAGATGAAGATTTTATGGTGGGCTGTGACATCAACACACACATATAGAGGCAAGGTTGATTGCCAGGTCTCTGGTGACATCAACCTAGACATTTAATCTGCCTCTGCCACAAAGTACGGAAGATCCTTCATATTAAATATAGGATGACATACCACCCAACTGCATTCTTTAAGAGGCCGATTTGGACAGCTGCATTTCCTGTAGTTGGCTAGGTTCATAGAGTCTGATACCAACTTCTCAATAATGTAAAAAACAAAAGTCTATGCTATTTCGGTTTAATGCTTTGCACTTTTATGTAAACGGTAGCAGTCTTTAGTATCATATTATAATACATATAAATTACATGTTGCTATTAAAGGATTAATGTACTAAATAAACAATTAACTGTGGTGAGTTGAAACCAACATAGCTAAGCTATTACCATAATTAAGTTGAAGGGGTTTTTTTTCTATCAAATATTAGATTTGATTTGGCAATTCTGCTTTCACTACCCCAGAACTGTTTAGTGAATCAACCCCTTGGGTTTGTTAATATAATAACATTTTGCCTCAAGCTGGTAGAAGATTATGAGAATACTTAAATACAACATCGGTGAAGGGCTGAACAAGGACTGTCTGTAAGAGTTGTACTAGAGTGTCTCTAGTTAAATTATGTACTTTTGTTTTTATCAGAAGTCATCCATTCTTTAACTAAATGATTTATTTACTTCATAATTTGTGTGATTATGTTTGCACTTAAGTTATATATCTGTCTATCATCTATCTATTGTTTACTGCATTATCAATATTTCACTATATTTAAATTCTAAATATAAGAGTTTCACTTTACTCAAACATTATTATTTAAAAAGGTATACGATTTATAGACCCCTTTCATTGTTGGTAATCCCTAGATCTGAAAAGCCAAACAAACTAGTTCTAAAATTGTGGTTGAACTACATTTTCCATAAACCCCAACCAGCTGGGAGTATGGTGGCTAAGAATCATGGGGATGGAAGGTAAGGAATAAAGGTAGCAGATGGAGTCCTACTTGTAGGCGCCCCAACAGTTCTTGGAACAAAAGTATATGCTTTCAGAAAATGCCCCATAAAATCGGTTTTGTTTCCAGTTTAATCCTGCAGCACATTTATAAGGTTATTTCAGAAGTGTCAGGATCCTATTGCTTTGAAAAAAAAACATGAGTGGATTGATTCCTGATCAGTGTATTGTAAGTGGTGTCTATTCACTGCAAAATTGCAAAATAATGGGTCCACTTTTAAAATGTAAAGATGTTTGCCATGTTTCAAGAGAGATGTTCAAAACACTTTCTTTTAAATATGTATGATGCAGCCCTTTTTTTATTATTCACTATACAGAAAGTGCCAACACAGCAATTAAACCTGAATACTGAGGTTTAAGTTTAGAAAAAACAACTCGTACAGTTGTCCAAACTAATTAACAACTTTTGTTTTAAAAGAACTGAACTGCTGAATACATACACACAGTCTGCTGAATACACACACACACAAGACTGCTGAATACAGAGACTGATGAATACACACACACACACACACACAGTCTGCTGAATATACACACACACAGACTGCTGAATACATACACACACACAGTCGGCTGAATACACACACAGTCCACTGAATACACAAACACACACACAGACTGCTGAATACACACACCCACATACTGCATTGAGGGGTGCAGTGTATGTGTTTGTGTGTGGGGTGCAGTGTGTATGAGGGTTGCTGTGTGTGTGTGAAGGGTGCTGTGTGGGGAGGTAGGGGTGCTGTGCTGTGTGGGGGTAGGGGTGCTGTGTGGGGGTAAGGGTGCTGTGTGTGTTGGAGGTAGGAGTTCTGTGTGTGGGGGTAGGGGTGCTGTGTGTGTGTTGGAGGTAGGGGTTCTGTGTGGGGGTGGGGTTGCTGTGGGGGGTAGGGGTGCTGTCTGTGTGTTGGGAAGGGGTGCTGTGTGTGTGGTGGGGTTAGTGGTGCTGTGTGTGGGGAGGTAAGGGTGCTGTGTGTGTGTGGGGAGGTAAGGGTGCTGTGCTGTGTGTTGGGGTAAGGGTGCTGTGCTGCATGTGGGGTAGGGTCGCTGGGCAGGGATAAGGGTGCTGTGCTGTGTGGGGGTAGGGG